GTGCTGGCGCGGGCTCGGGCGTTGGTGCTGCGGGCTGTCGTCGCGCTGGCTGTGGTGGTGCTGCTGCTGGTCGCCGTCTTCGCGCTGCTGGTCGCCGTGGTAGTGGTTGTGCTGGTGGCGTCGTTGCTGGTTGCTGTCGTGGTGGTTCTGCTGCTGCTGCTGTTGCTGCTGCTGCTGCTGGTCGTCGCTGCGCTGCCGTCGGTGGAGGTCGCAGTCGTCGTCGTGCTGCTGGTGGTGCTTTTGCTGGTAGCCGTCGCTAAGTTGGCGTTGTTGTCGCTGCTGGTGGCCGTGGTAGTGGTGGTGCTGGTTGTCGCCGTCGTCGTCGTAGTGGTGGTGGTGGTGCTGGTCGCTGTCGTGGTGGTTCTGCTGCTGCTGCTGGTCGTCGCGTCGCCGTTGGCAGTGGTCGCAGTCGTCGTCGTGCTGCTGGTAGCGCTTGTGCTGGTAGCCGTCGTGGTGGTCGTGGTGCTGGTGCTGCTGGTAGTCGGCCCCCGCTGCCCCTCGCGCGGGGGCCCGCGTCCTCAGGGGAGCGCCGACAGGAGGTCCCGTGGCTAGCGTCTCGCTGGGCACGTCCTCCCTAGCAGGCTGGCCGCAAGGGCGTCGTGAATGGCGAAGGACAGCATGCCAGTCCACCTGTGCAGCAGCGCCGTTGTCAGCGACCCTCGAAGCGCAGCTGGCGCGCCCCTGGCCCGGGCCCGCGCCAAGACCACGAGGAACTTGTACGCTTCCTCGTCCCATCGTCCGCCCGTTTCTGCTCCAGCAGCCAAGAAGTAGCTGCGCCGGGAGCCCACGAGCTCGGGGTAGGTGGTCGTGTTGCTGCTGCTGGTGGTCCTGCTTTTTGTTGTCGCTGTAGTTGTAGTGGCTGTCGTGGTGCTGCTGGTCGCTGTGCTGCCCCTGGTCGACGTCTTGGTGGTGGTGATGCTGGTCGCCGTGCTGGTGGTGGGGGCGTTGCTGGTCGTAGTCGTAGTGGTTGTGGTGGTGGTGGTGGTGGTGGTGGTGGTGGTGGTGGTGGTTGTGGTGGTGGTGCTGCTGCTGCTGCTGCTGCTGCTGCTGCTGCTGCTGCTGCTGTTTGCTGTTGTCGCTGTAGTTGTATTGGTTGTCGTGGTGCTGCTGGTCGCCGTGCTGCTCCTGGTCGCCGTGGTGGTGGTGGTGGTGGTGGTGGTGGTGGTGGTGGTGGTGGTGGTGGTGGTGATGGTGGTGCTGGTCGCCGTGCTGGCGGGTGTTGCGCTGCTGGTCGAGGTCGTGGTAGTTGTGGTGGTGGTTCTGCTGCTGCCGCTGCTGCTGCTGCTGCTGCTGCTGCTGCTGCTGCTGCTGCTGCTGCTGCTGCTGCTACGTGTTGTCGCAGTTGTGGTAGTAGTTGTCGTGGTTCTGCTGGTCGTCGTGAATGCACGCAAGAACGAACATGACAGAGCCGATAACAGAAGACACCACTCCAAGATTTTTTTTTTTTTTTTTTTTTTTTCTTCCCTGCGCGGGCTCACGCCAAGCCGAGGCCGCCGCGCGGGGCCCCTGCAGTGGCCCGCCGCCCGCCGCCGTCGGCCTAGGCCTCAGGCCCGCCGCCCCCCCGCCGCCGCCGCCGCCCCCGTCCGCCCCGCCGGCCGGCGGGCGGCCGAGCCCGGCTCCACCTCGGCGTTCCCCGCCTCCGCCAGCCAGCGCGCCGCCCCCCTCGCGCCTCGGCCGGCCCCTGGCGGGCCCCAGCCAGCCGCAGCCCGCCGCCTCCGCCTCCGCCCCCTCGCAGCGGGGCTCCGCCGGCCGCGGCGCCTCGTCTGGCTCCTGGCGCGGCTGCGCTGCGGGCCCCACCCGGCCGCCCCGAGAGTCGCGGGCGTTCTAGCCCTACCCTCACTCGGGGCCCGCTCTGGCGTGCCTCCCCGAGCCCCTCCTAGCCAAAGGGCGGCGGGGCCCCCGCGCTGCCGTCCTCCGCCTCCTCGCCCCAGCGCCCGCCTCCTCCTCCGCCTCCTCGGCCTCCGCGGCCTCCGTCGCGGGCCCAGCAGCTGCCGCCGGCCCGCCGCCGCCAGCCGTCGCCGGCCGCCGTCGCTCCCTGCCGCGCCGGCGTCCGCGCGGGCCCTGCCGTGCTGCTCCTGGTCGCCGTGGTGGTGGTGGTGGTGGTGCTGCTGCTGCTGCTGGTCGCCGTGCTGGTGGGTGCGGCGCTGCTGGTCGTAGTCGCAGTGGTTGTGGTGGTGGTGCTGCTGCTGCTGCTGCTGCTGCTGCTGCTGCTGCTGCTGCTGCTTGTTGTCGCTGTTGTGGTAGTGGTTGTCGTGGTGCTGCTGGTCGCTGTGCTGCCCCTGGTCGCCGTCGTGGTGGTGGTGGTAGTGGTATCCGTGCTGGTGGTGGTGGCGCTGCCGGTTGTAGTCGTAGTGGTGGTGGTGGTGGTGGTGGTGGTGGTTCTGCTGCTGTTGCTGCTGCTGCTGCTTCTGATGCGGGTGCTGCTGCTTGTTGTCGCCGTAGTGGTAGTGGTTGTCGTGGTTCTGCTGGTCGCCGTGCTGCCCCTGGTCGCCGTCATGGTGGTGGTGGTGGTGGCTCTGGTCGCCATCTTGGTGGTGGTGGTGGTGGTGCTGGTCGCCGTGCTGGTGGTGGTGGCGCTGCTGGTCGTAGTCGTAGTGGTGGTGGTGGTGGCTCTGCTGCTGCCGCTGCTGCTGCTTGTTGTTGCAGTTGTGGTGGTAGTTGTCGTGGTTCTGCTGGTCGCCGTGCTGCCCCTGGTCGCCGTCGTGGTGGTGGTGGTGGTGCTGGTCGCCGTGCTGGTGGTGGTGGCGTTGCTGGTCGTAGTCGTGATGGTTGTGGTGGTGGTGGTGGTGTTGCTGCTGCTGGTGGTCCTGCTTGTTGTTGTCGCTGTTGTGGTAGTGGTTGTCGTGGTGCTGCTGGTCGCTGTGCTGCTCCTGGTCGCCGTCGTGGTGGTGGTGCTGGTCGCCGTGCCAGTTGTGGTGGCGCTGCTGGTGGTAGTCGTAGTGGTTGTGGTGGTGGTGGTGGTGGTGGTGCTGCTGCTGCTTCTGCTGCTGCTGCTGCTGCTTGTTGTCGCTGTAGTGGTAGTTGTTGTCGTGGTGCTGCTGGTCGCCGTGCTGCCCTGGTCGCCGTCGTGGTGGTGGTGGTGCTGGTCGCCTTGCTGGCGGTGGTGGCGCTGCTGGTCGTAGGCGTGGTGGTGGCGGTTATGCTGCAGCTGCTGCCGCTGCTTGTTGTCGCAGTTGTGGCAGTGGTTGTAGTGGTTCTGCTGGTCCTCCTGCTGCGCCGGCGGGCGGGCCCCCAGGGTGGGGCCGCGCCCGTTCCACCGCATCAGAAACACGGCGGCAGTCGGCTAGGGGCCGGCGTCTCCGTGTAGCGGGCGTCCGCCAGGAGGTCGGCGAGGTGCGGCTTGTCCCCGTCGACGGCCAGGGTGTGCGGCGGCAGCTCCAGCAGCGTGGCCGCGAACGCTCTCTGGGCCGCGACCGCAGCCAAGCCTGTCCAGCGGTGTAGGTACGCCGCCCGCGCCGACGCTCGGAGTCGCTGCGGCGCGCTGCGGGCTCTGGTCCTGGCGAGCAGCCGGACGAAGGTCAGGGCCTCCTCGGACCACCTGCCGCCGACTTCCAAGCCCAGCACCACCAATCGGCATCTCCTTGACCCGATGAGCTCGGGGTAGGTCGCTTCCTTCCGGCCCCGCGCGACCGCGAGCTGGACTCCGTCCTCGTCCGCGGCTCTGGGCTGCGCGGTGCCGTCGGTGCGGACTGGCGACACCAGGGTCGCGTCAATCGCCAGCTGCGCTCCTCCCCAGAGCGGCAGGCCGTTCGCGATGACCTCGATCTTGCGCCCGTCGCGGGGGTCGACGCCGTCCACGTTGAGGTCTCGCAGGAGCTGGTTCTCTGCGACTCGGCCCCCGGCCTCGCGGCAGATACGTGCAGCCGCTTTCTCCAATGGGATGGATCTCTTCTTGAGCACCCCTGCCCTTGGGCACGCCGCTCTGTGGTCACCTCTGGCGTCCAGTCTGCCTCTGCATCTGCAAGCGCTCGCTGCGAAGGGTAAATCAAATCGCAACGGCTCAAGGGAGGGAGGGCCAAGCCAAGCGGCCGGCGCGCGCGAGGGGCGCACGCGGGGCGCAGGCATGGCGCCCTCCAGGGGGCCACGGGGTCCGTGCGCCGACGCTCGGAGCATGGGGAGTGCTCCAGGCGAAGGGGGGCGCCCACCGGACCCAGGCCCACCACCAGGCCTCTGGACGCTGGCTGGGCGAAGGAGACGAGCGCAGGGAGGCGGGAGGCGAAGGACGAGCCCGCCGAGACCTCGTCACCACAGCGGGCGCGGAGCGAAAAACTCGGTCAGGAGAGGGGCCCTTCCAGGCCGCGAGCTGACAAAGACAACCACGACCACGACTACGACCGACCACCCAACGACACGACTTGCCCCCGACCCCCTCCGCTTGAACCCCATCCGCCACCTGGCTCAAGGCGAGCACAGCCTCACACCTGCCCCGCCGCCCGAAGACACAGACAGCCGACCCAGACTCGCAGACCCACCGGTCGACCGCAGCGCTGGGTATTCGCCTTTGCCCACTCGGTGCGCCACGAGGAACCACCGTCGTTCCAGACGCCGCACCGAGAAGAGGGAGAGAGCGAACAGAGAGGCACACGCCTACCACGAACATGCCGAGACCATGCGGCAGCAGGAAGCTTTCTCCAGGCGACAGACCTACCTCGAGGACCGGTTCCACCTGAGGCAGCACGCGGCGCGGGGCAGCGTAAAAATCGAAGAGCGAACCACCACGCAGCCCGACTACCAAGCTCACAACACCACCGACCACGACTCATCCACACCAAGCACGCGAGACCGCATCCAAAAGCTCTTGCGCGCGCCCCTCGGACCCAACACGAGACCGGACTACACAAACGAGGGCGCAACGGCCGTCATGAGGCAGGCCGGGGTGGGGACGCTGGAGACGGACAGCCCGACCCTGCAGCCGAGCGCACGCCAACGCGCCCGCCAGCGGAAGAGGAACGCTGCCGAGCCAACGCCAGCAAGGGGACCGCAGAGCGTGGCCAACACGAGGATGCCACTTCCGTCCAGTGGCAGCCCACGATGCTACCACCACGTCCTGCCCGCGCCGGGCCGACAAGGGCAACGCAGAACTGCAGCTACCGCCAATGCCCTCCTGCCACCCTGGCTCACACCGGCAGCCCCGCAGCCCCCAGAAACGGGAGCCACCGCTTCTACCTGGCGCGCAAAGGCGACGAGGGCAAGCCCTCCCACCAGAGCCGCGCGCAAACAGGCGGCCGCAGCAGGAGAAGCAGCAGAAAGCATCTTGCACCAGCAGAGCGACCACCGCGACCACCAACACCACGCGCAGCAACACCAGCGCGACGAGGAGCACCGCAGCGGCAACAACGTCCACGACTGCGACCAGCACCACGCGCAAGAACACCAGCGCACAGCACAACGCAGCGACCAAGACCACCACGACGTGCACCACCACGAGCAGCAGCACCAGCGCAACCCCTCCAAAAGCCGCCGCGACGCGCGATGGGGTTACCGAGGCGTTCGAGTGGGCGAGGCCAGCCACCCAGGACCTCCAGACGCGCCCGGGGACAGCCCCCGAACACCGCGCCCGAGACACACGACGTCACCACCAGAGTCGCCAGAGCACGCACCCGGCGGCGCGGCGCCAATCCCGTCGCAGGAAGAGACCCCACCACGTGTTCTGCTCCGGGTACAAGCCGCAGGGTTTCAGCTTGGCGCGCCAGCCGTGCCGGACCACTTTGGCGCCGTCTTCGGGAGGGCGCCAGAAGGCGGATGGAATTTTGCGGGCTTATTCGCCCCGCACGGCGACAGGCAGGGCGAGGCAGCAGAAGCGGCAGCAACAGCGCGGGAGGAGCCAGACCGATCACCAGCGCCGGCAGAAGACGCCAACATCTGCATCGTCTGCCAGGAAGTGATCCCGCACCATGGGGCGGGCAGGGACACACCAACACAGGAGGCATGCTGTGGCGCCCACTTCCACTTGGGCTGCCGCGCCGACTTGGCCCGCCACCTTGGCGAAGCCACCACTTGCCCGCAGTGCCGAGCCAGACTCCCGACCACCGCCGAGTTACGGGCATGGTGCGCCGCGCAGGGCGTGGACATAGACCGACCGCCGCCCCCGGCCCACGACACCAGCGCCCAGGCCGTCCCAGATTACAATGGGTTTCGAAGCTACGCGCGAGGCGAAGAACCACCACCACGGGAGCCACCGCTGCTCCGAGCGCTCTGCTGCCGACGCCTCGGCCCACCGCCCGAATTCTCCGAAGTGCCAGACCGCCGCATGGAATGGTCCCCGGAGATTGCTGCACGCGACACCAACGGGATGATCACGCAGTGGCTTGAGTCATGGCTTTGCCCACGCTGCGGGGCGCGCTGCGCCGTCGACACGATCGCGCCACAGAGCGGCCAACAGATGTGCGCGAGGTGCCTAGAGCAGGGCACGTGGACCGCGGAAGCCAGCACGGCCGAAGGCGAATGGAGGTGCGCTCTGTGCGAACCAGACGCATGGACCAGAGAAGTGCCTTCTGCCCCACCACCAGCCCCGCCAGGTCCAGAGCCATCGCCACCAGCCCCCCCGCCAGGGCCAGAGCGAGCCGCCGCGAGGCCGCCACAACACAGCCCTTTCGCCGGCTGGGCCCCACCGCAAGCGCCCCTCCAGGCACGCACCAACTCCGCAGTGTACGTGCCCCTGCTGCTCGCAGCCGCCGGGCTTTTAGACCCAAGCGAAGGGGCGCAGTGGAGTGAGCACCGCCTCACACATGCCTGGTGGCAGCCGACGGTAGAGACGTTGCGGCTTGCAGGACCTGTACTAACAGGGCCCTTTGTCCAAATGCTGGCGTACACCGACGCTCGGCCCGGGGAAGTACCAGCGGTGCTTGCTGCAGACGGAGGAGAGCGCCCAGGGCACGTATCCTTTGCGCCAGTCGTCCAGGCAGTGGCGCACAGCAGCACCGGCTACATACAGCCGCTGGTGCAAGACCTCCTCCTCGAAGCCTTCGGCGGCGGCGTGCTCGCACGAGGAGTTGACGCACGCACAAACGAGCTGCGCAACCCAAGCTTCTGGGTAGACGCGGCGCCTCCGCCGCCGCTCCCACCGCCAGAGGCGCCCCAGGAGCCGGAGCTGCCTGGAGACCAGCACGCGAACGGCCCTGCCGCCGTGGTGGGCAGAGGCGCCCCCGGAGACAGAAGCGGAAGAGGCGCCAGAGAAAGCAGACGAGGAAGAGGCGCCAGAAGAGGCCGAGGCGGCGGAGAAGGGGGAGGAGGAGGCCCGAGCAGCGGCAGCGACGGCGGAAACACGGGCGCGGAGGAGGGAGACGCCAACGACGGCGGCAGCAACTCCAGCACTGAGGAGACCGACCACGAGGCCGAACCAGCGCAGGCCCCAGCCCCGAGCAACGGACCCACCGAAGAGTCCTGGGCAGCTCTCGGGGGCATCGACCTCCAACAAGAGCTCCGGAGATTCGTGCCGACACTACAGAACGTGCCACGTTTCCTGCGCGCGGAGACCCGGATGGCGTTCACCACGGCCCTGAAGAGGATCAAGCGAGGACACGACCAGGGCAACCAAGCAACAACCCACCAAGGATGGACACTGTTCCTCCTCGCCTCGAGGCTCCTGCTAAGCAAGCCCAAGGGTACCGACGCCGAGGGCCGACAAGAGCTCCTGGAACGCGCCCAACGGTTCCGCCAGGGCGACTGGCTGGCCCTGCTACACGAGGCCAACACCACGGCCGGCGCGCGCGCAGCGCCGAGGCCAGCCACAGAGGAGCAACAGCAGGAGAGACGCAGAGAACAGGCTTGCGCGCACGTCCGAAACGGCAACCCGTCACGGGGGAGACAGGTCTTGACCGCGGCGGCGATTGCGCCCGGCAACGGGGAGACACTAAACAGGCTGCGGGACCCGGCCCGCCGACCGCCTACCCTGAGCCGCCGACTACCCGCCAACCTCGACCGCGCAACGGACAGAGCGAGACTCGACAAGACCAAATTCCTCGCTTGCCTCCGGTCCGCCAAAAAGGGCACGGCAGCAGGACCGTCGGGGGTCCGCGTTGAGCACCTCAAGCCGCTGCTGGAGCACGAAGAGTCCATGGACCTGCTTGGATTCGCCGCCGCTGCCCTCGCGGAGGCGCGGGTGCCCTCCCCGATTGCCCGCGCTCTAGCCCTCTGCAAGATGACGGCGCTCCAGAAACCAGACAACGGAGTACGGGGCATCGCCACCGGCGACGTTTTCCGCCGACTGGTCACCAGGGCGCTCGCTCAACAGTTCGCCGAGCAGTTCGCGGCCGCAACTGCGCCCTTCCAGTTCGCCCTGACGACGCGGGCAGGAACCGACTGCGCCGCCATGCTGCTGAGGTCAGTGCTGGACCACGACGACGACGCAGTGATTGTCAGCATCGATGGAGTCGGGGCTTTCGACCATGTGTCGAGGTCGGCCTTCTTCCAGGAGCTCCTTGCTCGCCCAGAGCTGGCCGGCTCAATCCCCTTCGTGAAGATGTGGTACGGGCAAGACTCCACCTACCTCTGGCAAGACGAAATGGGGACTGTGCACGACGTGCACCAGGGAGAGGGCGTGGAGCAGGGGGACGCGCTGGCCCCAGCCCTCTTCGCTCTTGCCCTGCACGGAGCGCTGGCGGGCGCCTCCAGGACCCTAGAGCAAGGGGACTTCCTAGTCGCTTTCTTGGACGACGTGTACATCAAGACCACCCGGGCCAGGGCCAGAGCCGCTTTCGACACCACCACCGGAGCAATTCACCTCCACGCAAACGTGGATTGCCACCTTGGCAAGTGCCGGGCCTACAGCAGGGGCGGAGGCGCAGCGCCGCCCGGAATTGGCGAGCTGGGGCAAGACGTCTGGAGGGGTGACAGAGCACCACCCGACCGAGGAATCAAGATCCTTGGCACCCCCGTAGGCACCCCAGAATTCGTCGCAGCACACCTGGAGAGCAGACTACAGGAAGAGAGGAGACTCCTGGACGAACTGGCGCACCTGCCCGACCTACAGTGCGCTTGGCTCCTCCTCCTCCTTTGCGCCTCCCCGCGGGCCAACCACCTGCTGCGAACCCTGCCGCCAGAGGAAATCGCAGAATACGCGAGAGGCCACGACGGCGACATGTGGGCCACCCTGCGCCGCCTCCTCGGGGACCCCGCGATGTCGCAAGACGAAGAGCGACGGGCGCGCGCACTGGCAGCAATGCCTGGACGACACGGAGGACTCGGGCTCCAAAGCGCCGCGCGCACGTCCCCAGCGGCCTACTGGGGCGCTTGGGCAGACGCCCTACACATGCTCCACCAACGGCGCCCCGTTGAAGCTGCAGCGATCAGGGACCTCCTCGACGGCACCAGGCCCGGCCGTAGGGGCAACCTTGCCGCAGCCGCCGCGGCCGCACAGCTACTCGAAACCGAAGGCTTTCGGAGACCTTCCTGGACCGACCTGCTCCAGGGGCTGCGCCCAGAAGCGCCGCCGCGCTCGGAGGCCGCCGAACCGGGGGAATGGCAGCACGGCTGGCAGTTCCACGCTTGTTCCGCACGCAACACACACTACAGGGACAACGTGTTCATGCCCAGCCTCACCAGGGCCAACCAGGCCATGCTAAGGTCAGGCTCAGGACCGAGGGCCGCCTACTGGCTTCACACCCTACCCACCACCGAGGGGCACGTGTTCAAGCCCGCGCGGTTCCTGGCAGCCCTGCGCCGGCGCCTCAGGCTCCCACTGCCGCTCCTCCCGCACACCTGCGGGGCAGCCGGCCACCCGGGCTGCCGGGCCCGGCTGGACACGCTGGGAGACCACCTAGCCGCGTGCCCACGCACGGGGCTTCTCGCCAGACGCGCGAAACCGCTCGAACGAGCTTGGGCGAGGGTCGCCAGAGAAGCAGGAGGGAGAGTTGTCCCCCAACAGCTGCTGCGGGACACTAACGCCGTTGTCCACAACCCGCTGGACCGCAGACAATTAGACCTAGTCGTCTACGGCATCTCGCCGAACGGCGTCCCGCTGTGCTGCGACAGCACCATGGTGTCCCCCCTCCGCAGGGACGGCTGGCACCGGCCGCGCACCTTCGACACCGACGGCGCCGCGCTACTTGGGGCCGAAAGGCGCAAACGACGCAGGTACCACGAACTCACGACCGGCCATTCAGGCCGCCTCATGGTCCTCTCCTGCGAGGTCGGAGGCAGGTGGGGCCGCGATTCCCTCCAGCTGGTACGCCTGCTTGCCAAGCAGAAGGCGCGGGCCGCGCCGGCCCTCCTCCGCCGCTCCGCGGAGCTCGCGTACACCAACCGCTGGTGGGGGTTCCTGAGCGTCGCGGCCCAGGACTCGCTCATGGCCACCCTGACGGGCGACGGCTACCTAGCCTTGGGGGGGGCCGCCGGGGAGGACGACCCAGACCTGGCTGAAGTGCTGCTCGCAGACTCCGCCGGCCCACCCGCTAGCCGCCTGCCAGCGCGCCCCTGATGCTTGGCGCCGCGGCCAGCACGGCCGCCCCGGGGGGCTCCGACGAGCGCCGGGAGCACCCCCGACACGGCAGCGGGCACCACGAGGAGGTCAGCAGTACCACCACCACCACAACGGCGACCAGCAGCACCATCGCTTCGACTGCGACCCGCAGCAGAACCACCACCAACACCACCACCACGAGAGCGACCCGCAGCACCACCACGACCACGACCAGGAGCACCACGACTGCGACCAGCAGCACCACGACTGCGACCAGCAGCAGCACCACCACGACTACGACCAGCAGCAGCACCACCACCACGACCAGCAGCACCACCAGCACCACCAGCACAAGCAGCACCACCACGACTGCGACCAGCAGCACCACCACGACTACGACCAGCACCACCACGACTGCAACCAGCAGCAGCACCACAACGACCAGCAGCACCACCACCATTACCAGTAGAACCACCAGCACCACCACGACGGCGACCAGCAGCCCCACGACTGCGACCAGCAGCGCCACGACTGCGACCAGCAGCACCACGACTGCGACCAGCAGCAGCACCACCACGACTGCGACCAGCAGCACCACCACTACGACAGCGACCCGCAGCACCACCACGACCACGACCACGACCAGCAGCACCACGACAGCGACCAGCAACACCACGACTGCAACCGGGAGCAGCAGCACCGAGACAGCGACCAGCAGCACCACCACGACCAGCACCACCAGCACAACCAGCACTACCACGACTGCGACCAGCAGCACCACCACCACTACGACCAGCACCGCCACGACAACGACCAGCACCACGACTGCTACCAGCAGCACGACGACTGCGACAAACAGCAGCACCACCACGACTACGACCAGTAGCAGCACCACCACCACCACGACCAGCAGCACCACCAGCACACCCAGCACAAGCAGCACCACCACGACTGCGACCAGCAGCACAACCACGACTACGACCAGCACCGCCACGACTGCAACCAGCAGCAGCACCACAACGACCAGCAGCACCACCACCACGACCAGCAGCACCACCAGCACCACTACGACGGCGACCAGCAGCCCCACGACTGCGACCAGCAGCACCACGACTGCGACCAGCAGCACCACGACTGCGACCAGAAGCAGCACCACCACGACTGCGACCAGCAGCACCACCACCACGACAGCGACCCGCAGCACCACCACGACCACGACCAGCAGCACCACGACCACCACGACCAGCAGCACCACCAGCACCACTAGCACAAGCAGCACCACCACGACTGCGACCAGCAGCACCACCACGACTACGACCAGCACCGCCACGACTGCAACCAGCAGCAGCACCACCACGACCAGTAGCACCACCAGCACCACCACGACGGCGACCAGCAGCCCCACGACCGCGACCAGCAGCGCCACGACTGCGACCAGCAGCACCACCACCACGACAGCGACCCGCAGCACCACCACGACCACGACCAGGAGCACCACGGCTGCGACCAGCAGCACGACGCCTGCGACCAGCAGCATCACCACGACTACGACCAGCAGCACCACCACCACCACGACCAGCAGCACCACCAGCACCACTAGCACAAGCAGCACCACCACGACTGCGACCAGCAGCACCACCACGACTACGACCAGCACCACTACGACTGCAACCAGCAGCAGCGCCACAACGACCAGCAGCACCACCACCACGACCAGCAGCACCACCAGCACCACCACGACGGCGACCAGCAGCCCCACGACCGCGACCAACAGCGCCACGACTGCGACCAGCAGCACCACGACTGCGACCAGCAGCAGCACCACCACGACTGCGACAAGCAGCACCACCACCACGACTGCGACCCGCAGCACCACCACGACCACGACCACGACCAGCAGCACCACGACTGCGACCAGCAGCACCACCGCCACTACGACCAGCACCACCACGACTGCGACCAGCAGCAGCACCATAGAGACCAGCAGCACCACCACGACCAGCAGCACCACCAGCACCAACACGACGGCGACCAGCAGCCCCACGACTGTGACCAACAGCGCCACGACTGCGACCAGCAGCACCACGACTGCGACCAGCAGCAGCACCACCACGACAACGACCAGCAGTACCACCACCACGACCGCGACCCGCAGCACCACCACGACCACGACCAGCAGCACCACGACTGCGACCAGCAGCGCCACGACCGCAACCAGGAGCAGCAGCACCGAGACAGCGACCAGCAGCACCACCACGACGAGCACCACCAGCACAACCAGCAATACCATGACTGCGACCAGCAGCACCACCACGACTACAACCAGCACCACCACGACCGCGACCAGCAGCCGCACCACAACGACCAGCAGCAACACCACCTCGACCGCGACCAGCAGCACCGCCACGACTACTACCAGCAGCACTACGACTGCCACCAGCAACACCACGACCACGACCAGCAGCAGCACGACCACGACTGCCACCAGCAGCTCCACCACCACGGCCAACACCAGCACCAGCACCACCAGCACAACCAGCACCACCACTACTACGACTAGCACCACCACGACAAGCAGCACCACCACAACCGCGACCAGCAGCACCAACACGACTGCGACCAGCAGCCCCACGACTGCGACCTGCAGCGCCACGACTGCGACCAGCCGCAGAACCACTACCAGCACCACCACCACGACTGCAACCCGCAGCACCACCACGACTGCGACCAGCAGCACCAAAACTGCGACCAGCAACACCACGACTGCGACCAGCAGCAGCACCACCACGACTGCGACCAGCAGCAGCAGCACACCACCACCAAGACCAGCACCACCAGCACAACCAGCACCACCACGACTGCGACCACCAACGCCACCACGACTACGACTCGCAGCACCACGACCGCGACCAGCAGCAGCACTATCATGACCGCAACCAGCAGCAGCACCACCAACACGACCACGACCAGCAGCAGCACCACCACGACTGCGACCAGCACCAATTCCGACCGGCAACACGACCCCCAGCAACGACGGGCACCACCTGCAACGACCAGCAGCAACGACGCGCACCTGCACGACGGCGCGCACCGACGACGCCCACCGCCCCTTCCCCTCGCCTTTCCTTCGGCCTCTGTCCCCTCGTCTCGGTCCCGTCTCGTTCGCCCCCTTCCCCCGCGTCGTTCGCCCCTCGCCGTTCGGGCCCGGCTCGTGCCCCTCGCCCCCTCGTCCTCCGTCCCCCGCCCGCCCCACCCCCGCCTGGAGTCCAGACCCAGCCGCGCCTGCGAGACAAGGGAGCAGTGGCAGCAGGCTATGGCGCTGCTGATTCCCAAACTGGGGCCCAACGTCATCAGTTGCATCGCTGGGGCCAGCGCACGTGCGAAAAATGGGCAGCGGCAGTGGCAGCGAGCCAGGAAGGAGAGCGAGGCGGCAGAGGAGGAAATAGAAGAGGAGGAGAAGGCAGCGGACGAGCAGGACCAGGTCGAGGAGGAGGAGGAGGCGAAGATAACCGCGCTCGACGTCAGCAGGCAGTGGCAGCGAGCCAGGGAGTCAGGACGTGGAGGAGGAGGAAGACGGGAGGTGATGGCGGAGCCAAGCGTCATCAGCTACAGCTCTGGGATCAGCGCACGCGCGAGAGGCGAGCAGTGGCAGCGGGCTCTCTCACTGCCCAGCGAGATGTGGGAGGCGAAGGTGGAGCCAAGTGACATCAGCTATAGCTCTGGGATCAGCACCTGCGCGAAAGACGAGCAGTGGCAGCGGGCCCTACTACTGCTCAGCGGGATGTGGGAAGTGAGGTTGGAGCCGAATGACATCAGATACAGCTCTGGGATCAGCGCGTATGCGAACGGCGAGCAGTGGCAGCAGGCTCTCCCACTGCTCAGCGAGATGTGGGACGCGAAGGTGGAGCCAAGCGTCATCAGCTACAGCTCTGGGATCAGCGCGTGCGCGAAAGGCGAGCAGTGGCAGCGGGCTCTATCGCTGCTCTGCGAGATGTGGGAAGTGAGGTTGGAGCCAGATGCCATCAGCTACAACTCTGGGATCAGCCCTGGGATCAGCGCGTGTACGAACGGCGAGCAGTGGCAGCGGGCTCAATCGCTGCTCTGCGAGATTTGGGAGGCGAAAGTGGAGCCAAGCGTCATCAGCTACAGCTCTGGGATCAGCGCGTGCACGACAGGCGAGCAGTGGCAGCGGGCTCTATCGCTGCTCTACGAGATTTGGGAAGTGAGGTTAGAGCCAGATGCCATCAGCTACAACTCTGGGATCAGCGCGTGCGCGAACGGCGAGCAGTGGCAGCAGGCTCTCCCACTGCTCAGCGAGATGTGGGAGGCGGAGGTGGAGCCAAGTGTCATCAGCTACAGTTCTGGGATCAGCGCATGCGCGAGAGGCGAGCAGTGGCAGCGGGCTCTCTCACTGCCCAGCGAGATGGGGGAGGCGAAGGTGGAGCCAGATGCCATCAGCTATAGCTCTGGGATCAGCGCGTGCGCGAAAGAAGAGCAGCGGCAGCGGGCTCTATCACTGCTCAGCGGGATGCGGGAAGTGAGATCGGAGCCGAATGTCATCAGCTACAGCTCTGGGATCAGCGCGTGCGCGAAAGGCGAGCAGTGGCAGCGGGCTCTATCGCTGTTCTGCGAGATGTGGGAAGTGAGGTCGGAGCCAGATGCCATCAGCTACAACTCTGGGATCAGCCCTGGGATCAGAGCGTGTACGAACGGCGAGCAGTGGCAGCAGGCTCTCCCGCTGCTCAGCGAGATGCGGGAGGCGAAGGTGGAGCCAAGCGTCATCAGCTACAGCTCTGGGATCAGCGCATGCACGAAAGGCGAGCAGTGGCAGCGGGCTCTATCGCTGCTCTGCAAGATTGGGGAAGTGAGGTTAAAGCCAGATGCCATCAGCTACAACTCTGGGATCAGCGCGTGCGCGAACAGCGAGCAGTGGCAGCAGGCTCTCCCACTGCTCAGCGAGATGTGGGAGCCGAAGGTGGAGCCAAGTGTCATCAGCTACAGCTCTGGGATCAGCGCATGCGCGAGAGGCGAGCAGTGGCAGCGGGCTCTCTCACTGCCCAGCGAGATGTGGGTGGCGAAGGTGGAGCCAGATGCCATCAGCTATAGCTCTGGGATCAGCGCGTGCGCGAAAGAAGAGCAGTGGCAGCGGGCTCTATCACTGCTCAGCGGGATGTGGGAAGTGAGATCGGAGCCGAATGTCATCAGCTACAGCTCTGGGATCAGCGCGTGCACGAAAGGCGAGCAGTGGCAGCGGGCTCTATCGCTGCTCTGCGAGATGTGGGAAGTGAGATCGGAGCCAGATGCCATCAGCTACAACCCTGGGATCAGCCCTGGGATCAGAGCGTGTACGAACGGCGAGCAGTGGCAGCAGGCTCTCCCACTGCTCAGCGAGATGCGGGAGGCGAAGGTGGAGCCAAGCGTCATCAGCTACAGCTCTGGGATCAGCGCGTGGACGAACGGCGAGCAGTGGCAGCGGGCTCTCTCGCTGCTCAGCGAGATGTGGGAGGCGAAGGTGGAGCCAGATGCCATCAGCTATAGCTCTGGGATCAGCGCGTGCGCGAACGACGAGCAGTGGCAGCGGGCTCTATCACTGCTCAGCGGGATGTGGGAAGTGAGATCGGAGCCGAATGTCATCAGCTACAGCTCTGGGATCAGCGCGTGCACGAAAGGCGAGCAGTGGCAGCGGGCTCTATCGCTGTTCTGCGAGATGTGGGAAGTGAGGTCGGAGCCAGATGCCATCAGCTACAACTCTGGGATCAGCCCTGGGATCAGAGCGTGTACGAACGGCGAGCAGTGGCAGCAGGCTCTCCCACTGCTCAGCGAGATGCGGGAGGCGAAGGTGGAGCCAAGTGTCATCAGCTACAGCTCTGGGATCAGCGCGTGCACGAACGGCGAGCAGTGGCAGCGGGCTCTCTCGCTGCCCAGCGAGATGTGGGAGGCGAAGGTGGCGCCAAGTGTCATCAGCTACAATGCTGGGATCAGCGCGGGCGAGAAGAGGGGGCAGTGGCAACAGGCATTCGTGCTGCTCAGCGCGATGCTGGACGCGAAGCTGGGACCCGACGTCGTGGGTTACGGCAGGCGGGCAGGGCCGGCGGGCGCTGCGGCCGCGGGCCGCCGGGCTGGGGCAGCTCTGGCGGCCTTCGCGGGCGGCCTTGCCCGGGCACGGAGCGGAGCCGGCCGGGCCAGGGCCTCGAGCGCTCCCGCGGCCTCGAGGCCGAGGCACGCAGGGCGGCTCGGCCGGGCGGGCGGCGGGCGGCGGCGGCTGGCGGCGCGAAGACCGCGCGGTGGCCGGCGGGCCCGCCGGGCCGCCTAAGGCGACCGCGGGCGTCGGCAGCCCAGCCAGGGGGCCAGCCGGAGGGAGCCAGGTGCAGCGGCCCCTTTCGCTGCGGACTCGGCCAGGGACTGGGACTGGGACTGGGAGAGGAACAAAAAAAAAAAAAAATTCTGCCGGCGGGATGTGGAAGTCCCCCGTCGTGGGCAGCGCGGTGAAGGCTCGTCCCGCGCACGGCCCGCTCTGTGACCGGAGGAGGGCGCGGTCCGGAGGCGTGGAGGCGTTGAGGAGCTGCTGTCGGGCTGTGTTCTCCAAGACTCTGGCGGCCCAGAACTGCCAGCCGTGCGCCCATTCGCCGTGCTCCCGTTCGTGCGTCGGCGGTGGCCGGGCGCCCTGCGCAAGGTCGTGCCAGTTGGGCGCGGCGAAGCCGTGCGCCGAGAGGTGCTCCTTTGCCCTGCTGGCTTGTTGTAAGCACCCGGGAGCGGCCGGCAGCGGGCCCCGGTCCAGCTCGCTCAGTGCAGCGCAGATCTGGTTTGTGAGCTCGGGGCAGCGTTCGCGGAGCATCTGCGCGCAGTCTGCCCAGGAAGCCCACCAGGCCGCCGGCGCCGTCCTGGACGCGCTTCGCAGGCCGAGCCCCCCCATGCAAAGCGGCAGTTGGCAGCGTTGGCGCGCTGACGTGCCTTCTGCGACAGCTTCTTGCGGGAGTTCCAGCAAGTCGGCGAGCGCGTTGGCCAGGTTGTCGTCGTGCGCTGCGGCGAAGGCGGCCGTGTCCTCGGGAGCCAGCGCCCTCAGGAAGAAGTTGGCCCGGGGGTTGGCGCACATGCTGAGCAGGAGCCACGAGGATTGCAGGTCCCCGACGTGTGGTATCCTCGCGAGCAAGCGGCGGTGTTCTTCCAGGATGGCCTCCAGGTGTTGGGCGACGAAAGCTCCGTGGCCTATCGGGGCCCCCAGAACGACCAAGCCCTGGGCTTCCGGCGGGGTGTTTGCTCCTCCTACCCACACCCGGTCTGCTGCTGAGCCCAGCTCTCGGATGCCAAGTGGCTCCTGCCCTCCCCTGTTCCAGACTCGCGTCTTCCCCATGTTCACGCTGATGCCGCAGTGCGCTTGGAGGGCGCCCCGCACGGCGTTGAAGAGGAACCTCGCTCTGTCTGGCGTGGTGACCAAGTACACGTCGTCAAGGAAGACGAAGATGCGCTCCCCAGGCTGGAGTATGCCTTGGACCTGTTGCAGGGCGGGGTGTTGTCCCAAGGCAAACAGGGCTGGCATGGGCGGGTCTCCTTGCTCTCCTCCTTCCGCCTGGTCGATCGCGTGCCCTTGTCCCGCGTCGTCGTGCCACCAGTACTGCGATCTTTCCCCGTAGAAGAGGCGGCAGAAGGGAAGCAGTGCGCTACCCCTGCCCAGGTTTGCTAATCCTTCGAGCATCGAGTTTCTGGACATGAGGTCGAATGCCCCGATTCCGTCTATGGAAACCACCGTGGCCGCCGGGTCACCCTGGGTGAGAGTCTGCACGAGGTGCGCCACGCATTCCGTGCCTGCTCGGGTCGAGAGTGCGAACTGGAAGGGGGCAGTCGCCTGCTCGACCTCTTCGCCCACTTGCTGCGCCAGCGTGCGGGCAACCAACCGCCTGAAGACGTCGCCGGTCACAATGCCTCGCGCCCTCCCGTTGCTCTTGCGCAGCGCCGTGAGGCGGCCGAGCCGGAGGGCCTCTGCCACGGGGCCAGGGATTTCCGCCCTCGCAAGGAGCGTGGCAGCGTGGTGCAGGAGGTCGCAGCAGTGCTCGTCGTCCAGCAGCGTCTGCAAGTGTTCTCCCGTCATCCCTGAGGGGCCCGGCGCAGCGCCCCGGCGACTCCTGCGCACGTTCGTGAGGAGGCGGTCTGGTTCCAGGCTGGCGAGGCCTTGCGGCGGCGCGCGGGCGGCTCGCTCGCTGAGCTGCTCTCTCGGCTGCTGCAGGCGGCGTGCCGGGTCCCGGAGTTCGTCCAGAGTGGCCTGTGTGCCTGGTGCCACCGCGCTCGCTGTCAGCGCTTGCTGCGCCGCCGAGACCTCGCCGAGGCGGATCAGCTCGCGGGCCCTCTCGCAGCGGCTGCGGAGCTCCTCGTTTTCGTCTGGCGCCCGGCCCCGTCGTGCCTCGGGCGCCCTGCTCTGCCCGTTCGCGTCTCGCTCGGGCGGCCTGCGCGGCGGGCCCGGCTGTGCTTCCGTCAGAAGCTGCGCCCAGTCTCCAGCCTCGAAGCGGGTGAACCTCTCCAGGAGTTGCTCCTTGGGGATCCTTTGCTGCCCCGCCTCTCTCCTCAAGAGCAGTCGTGGGAGCAGGAGGAACAGCTTCCACCCTCTCGCTGCTCCTGTCTCGTCTGCTTCGCCCTCTCGGATCAGCTCCAAAGCTTTGCGCAAGGCGTTGCGGAGCGGCCCCCGCGCGAACGCTGGCGCCCGTTGGAGGGTTGGCACGCGGGCCCGGAGCGCAGATGCTACGTCTGTCGCGTCCAGCGCTTCCCTCTCTGCCGCCGTCAAGCGAGCGCGGGCGTGGGCGGGGCGGCGCCCCAGGGGCGCCCGGGGAGGAGCAGCTCGTCCCGCGCCCCCGTCTCGGCGGGGCTGGGCCAGCGGCGCGGGCAGCGCGGGGCCAGAGTTGCTGGAGGCGCTGTCCTCAGTGTCCTCCTCGCTCTCGCTGGCGGTGCTGCTGCTCGAGCTGCCTCCTCCCCCTCCTCCCCCTCCTCTGGTGCCTCTTCCTCTTCGGCCCCCTCTAGCGCCTCGCCCTCTGCTTCCTCTGGCGCCTCTTCCTCCTCTGCCTCCTCGGCCTCTGCCTTCTCCTGGGCCCCCCTCGCTGGCGTCGTCGCTGGGCTGATGTCCTGCTGGCGCCGCTGGTGGCGGCCTCGGCGGGCGTGGCGCGGCTGCGGCCCACCTGGCCGGGTCGCGGAGCTCGTCTGCGCGCCGGTCGACCCCCCGCGCCAGCACGACCCCCCCGAAGAGCTCGAGCAAGAGGTCCTGGGCGAGGTTGTCGATGTAGCCAGCGCTGTCCGCCAGCGCTCTGACCGCAGGCGGCAGGTGCACGTGTCCAGGGCGTGCTCCGCCCCCAGCGGCGATCACGGCATATATCGCCCCTGGGCTGGCCCCTGCGAACTCCAGCCCTTGGGCGAAGGTCTCGGCTGGCACGGGGTCCGCTTGCTGCAAGGCCTCCACTGTCGGCTGCCACCAGTCGTGCGTGAGCGGGTGCGTGCTCCATCCCGCCGCCTCCTGCTGGTCAAGCAGCCCCGCCGCTGCTAATAGCGAGGGCACGTGCACGCGTGAGTTGGTTCGTTCTCGTAGTGGGCCCGCCAGGGGAGGCCATCCGGCGGTGGGCGCCTGTTCGGGGCGCGCCAGTCGAGGGTCTCCTGCGTCTGCTGTTGTCGCGGGCGGCGACGGAGGGGCGGCGGCCGCTGGCTCCGGAAGCGGCGTGGCGGCGCAGCCCTCGCAGAGCCAGGCCCCGTGCCATCTCCACGACCCTCCTGTGGCCCTGGCGGCCCTGGCGACCCACTCGATTGGCCCTGGCCGTCCGCAGGGGCAGCGCGGCGGTCTCGCGCCCTGCGGCGGCGAGACGTCGCTACCCAAGGGGGCCACGTCGCAGGCGCGGCATTCCCAGCTGCCCGCCAGCCCGCTGGGCCCGCGAGAGTGCCGCCACCGCAGGGGTTGGAAGTGTCGCGGGCAGACTGCGATGGCGTGCGGCGCGGGCCCTCCTGGCTGCTCAAGGGGCCCTCCTGCGTAAGGGTCCGCCTCCTCCTCACTTGGCGGGCCGGCCGCGGCTCGGCAGCGTGAGCACCTGCACCCTCGGGTGGGGTAGTCTCCAGAAGCGCCCAGGGATCCCGCCAGCCCATCTCAAAACAGCAACTCTTGCGAAACATGAGGCCTCGTGGTGCCTCCTGGTGACCTCTTGTGGGCCATCTGGGGAACTCTAGGGGCCATCTGGTGGGCCCCTGGGGGCCATCGTGGGGGGCTTGTATGAGCGCTGCCCGTCCTCCTGGTGTGACTAGTTCGGGCTCCGCGTGGTGTGAGTCGTTCGAGGCCCGCGTCGTGGTGTGAGTCGTTCGGGCTCCTCATGGTGTGAGTCGTTCGGGCGGCTCGTCCTGGTGTGAGTCGTTCGGGCCCCTCCTTGTGGTGTGAGTCGTTCGGGCTCTTCGTGGTGTGAGTCGTTCGGGCCCCTCGTCCTGGTGTGAGTCGTTCGGGCTCCTCGTGGGGCCTCTTGGGGGCCTCTTGGAGCCTCTTGGGGCCTCTTGGGGGCTTCTTGGGGGCCTCTTGGGGGCCTCTTGGGGGCCTCTTGGAGCCTCTTGGGGGCCTCTTGGGGGCCTCTTGGGGGCCTCTTGGGGCCTCTTGGGTGCCTCTTGGGGGCCTCTTGGAGGCCTCTTGGGTGCCTCCTGGGGGCCTCTTGGGGCCATCTTGGGGCCTCTGGCGATCTCTTCAGAAGCGCAAATGAGCGCTGCCTCTTGAGAAGGACACAATGAGCCCAAAACCTTCGTATAATCAATGATTTGCTATGAAGGAAGAGGAGCGCGGCCCCAAATCAATGATTTTGTGTTCAAAGAAGAGGAGAGGTTTTGGTTTTTTCTCGCCCCCCCCGTCGGGGGCAGAATTCTCGTGAAGGGGTGTTGCTCCAAGGTTTTTTTTTTTTGTTTTTTTTTTTTTTTTTTGTTTTTTTCTTCTTTTCCCCCTCCTTCCTTGCGCGGGCTCACGCCAAGCCGAGGCCGCCGCGCGGGGCCCCTGCAGTGGCCCGCCGCCCGCCGCCGTCGGCCTAGGCCTCAGGCCCGCCGCCCCCCGCCGCCGCCGCCGCCCTCCCCGTCCGCCCCGCCGGCCGGCGGGCGGCCGAGCCCGGCCCCGCCTCGGCGCCCCCCGCCTCCGCCAGCCAGCGCGCCGCCCCCCTCGCGCCTCGGCCGGCCCCTGGCGGGCCCCAGCCAGCCGCAGCCCGCCGCCTCCGCCTCCGCCCCCTCGCAGCGGGGCTCCGCCGGCCGCGGCGCCTCGTCTCGCTCCTGGCGCGGCTGCGCTGCGGGCCCCACCCGGCCGCCCCGAGAGTCGCGGGCGTTCTAGCCCCACCCTCACTCGGGGCCCGCTCTGGCGTGCCTCCCCGAGCCCCTCCTAGCCAAAGGGCGGCGGGGCCCCCGCGCTGCCGCCCTCCGCCTCCTCGCCCCAGCGCTCGCCTCCTCCTCCGCCTCCTCGGCCTCCGCGGCCTCCGTCGCGGGCCCAGCCGCTGCCGACGACGACCCGCGGGGCTCCCTGACGACCCGCGGGGCTCCCTCTCCAGGCCCAGGGGGAGGGGGTAGGGGGAGAAGTAAACCCCTCTCCGAAGGGGAAGAAGAGGGGTTGAGGACAGAGCGGGCTCTCTAAACCACTCGCGCCCAAAGGGCTGGTGGGATTTCTGTCAGTACCCCCGTCGGGGCCACGATCGTCGTGAGGGGTGTCGAATTTTAGCTCTCCCAGGGATAGACGAAGGACCCTCTGACGATCCGCGGAAGGCCCCTTCCAGGTCCAGGGGGAGGGGGTAGGGGGAGGGGTCAACCCCTCGCCGAAGGGGAAGAAGGGGGGTTGAGAACAGAGCGGACTCCCTGAACCACTCACGCTCAAAGGGCTGGTGGGATTTCGTTTTTCGGGGTTTCAGTGCGCACTTGTCCGGTGGAGCTCCAGTGTCATAGAAGATGCCTCTGTAGCTTCCTCGTCGTCGAGACGCTTCGAATGCTCTGTAGTGTTTCCTCGTGGCCTCCTTTCCATGCCTCTGTAGCTTCCGCGCACTCCTGCGTCGCCGAGTTTCTTCTTGCAGCGTCCTTGTCGTGTCGCGGGGTGCGTTTGCGTCACTTCGGTGTTGCTGCGCCTTGAGACGTGTCTCTGCAGCCTCTTCGTCTCGTCGGGGACTCCAGCGTCACCGAATTTGTTCTCGTATTGTGCTTGTCGTTCCAGGTCGTGCGTACGCGCGCAGAATGTTTCTCTGCGGCGTCCTCGTCGCATCAGGATCTCCAGCGTCGCAGAATGAATCCTTGTAGCGCCTCTTCTTCCAGGGCGGCGTGGTCCTGAGTCGCCGCGGACGACTCGCCGCGGACGGTTCCATTCGATTCCACGGGCGATCGTGCGCATGTAGTTTGCCACGCGCCTGCGCGCGCGCGGAGAGGGCCTGGGCGCCCTGTCGCCTGCGGGCGACCGCGCGGGTTAGTCCCCGCAGAAGCCAAAAACGGCATTTCCACACGCCGGGTAAAGCCTAAAAGGGCTTTCGTCTGCCTGATCCTTGCCCCCCGCTTTCCTCCTTCTTCTTTCATCGAAGTCAGAGCCCCCGGCCCCTATGACGTCCTCCGCTGGCCTGGGTGGTCTACTCAGGTCGCGGGGGGGGGGGGTAGTGGGGGGGGGCGTTGCCACGGCTGGTGCCTCGTTTTTATGACGGGGAGGGGGGGGGTGCACCGTTCCCTCGGATGGGCACATCCCCCCCTCCAAGGGCCTCCGAGCCCTCCCTCTCCGTCCTTTTCTTCTCCCTTATCCTTCCCTCCCTCGCGGTTTTCGAAGCCTTTGGCGTCTCCGCCCACCACCCTTCGGAGTATCCTAATGGCCTCCGGCCCACCCCGCCACCGTGCCGTGCCGGTGGGCCAGAGGCGTATGGAGTAGACGAGATGGTTAAAGGGGGAGCCAGTGGCTTCAATCGGGCGTTGTGGAGCGCACGCGCGTAGTTGGGTTCTGCAGGGTTTCCCTGGGGGTTGTTTTTTTTGTCAGTGTATACAAAAGGGGAAATGTTGTCGAATTTGGGACGTATGGTTCTCTCTTTTTGTATGCGTCTGGGTCCCGAACGACTCACGCGAGGACGAGGGGCCCGAACGACTCGCACCGCGAGGAGCCCGAACGACTCACACACAAGGAGGGGCCCGAACGACTCACACCAGGACGAGGGGCCCGAACGACTCACACCACGAGGAGCCCGAACGATTCACGCACAAGGAGGGGCCCGAACGACTCACACCAGGACGAGGGGCCCGAACGACTCGCACCACGAGGAGCCCGAACGACTCACACACCAGGAGGGGCCCGAACGACTCACACCCGGACGAGGGGCCCGAACGACTCACACCACGAGGAGCCCGAACGAGTCTCACACAAGGAGGGGCCCGAACGACTCACACCAGGACGAGGGGCCCGAAGGACTCACACCACGAGGAACCCGAACGACTCACACACAAGGAGGAGCCCGAACGACTCACACCAGGACGAGGGGCCAGAACGACTCGCACCACGAGGAGCCCGCACGACTCACACACAGGGAGGGGCCCGAACGATTCGCACCAGGACGAGGGGCCCGAACGACTCACCACGAGGAACCCGAACGACTCACACTCAAGGAGGGGCCCGAACGACTCACACCAGGACGAGGGGCTCGAACGACTCACACCACGAGGAGCCCTAAACGACTCACACACAAGGAGGGGCCCGAACGACTCACACCAGGACGAGGGGCCCGAACGACTCACACCACGAGGAGCCCGAACGATTACACACAAGGAGGGGCCCGAACGAATCACACCAGGACGAGGGGCCCGAACGACTCACACTTCGAGGAACCCGAAAGATTCACGCACAAGGAGGGGCCCGAACGACGCACACCAGGACGAAAGACCCGAACGACTCACACCACGAGGAGCCCGAACGACTCACACACAAGGAGGAGCCCGAACGACTCACACGAGGACGAGGGGCCCGAACGACTCACACCGCGAGGAGCCCGAACGACTCACACTCAAGGTAAGAACCCGAACGACTCACACCAGGACAAGGGACCCTAACGACACACACCACACGAGGGGCCGAACGACTCACACACAGGGAGGGCCCGAACGACTTCTCACACCAGGTACGAGGGGCCCGAACGACTCACAACACGAAGATCGAATGACTCAACCCAAAAGAAGGGGCCGGAACGACCCACACCAGGGACGAGGGGCCCGCGCCGAACACACGAGGGGCCCGAACGACTCACAACAAGGAGGCGGCCGAACGACACACACCAGGACGAGGGCCCGAACGATCACACACGAGGAGCCCGAACGAACTCACAACAAGGAGGGGCCGAACGAGTCACACCAGGACGAGGGGCCCGAACGACTCACACCACGAGGGGCCCGAACGACTCACACACAAGGAGGGGCCCGAACGACTCACACCAGGACGAGGGGCCCGAACGACTCACGCCACGAGGAGCCCGAACGACTCACACACAAGCAGGGGACTTCTGGGGGTCTTCTGTGGTTCTCGTGAGTTTTCTGTGAGTCGTTCGGGGGGTTTTCTGTGAGTCGTTTGGGCCGCTCGTTTTCTGTTTTTTTTGGTGAGTCGTTCGAGCCGTTCGTTCG